GGATGGTACTGCACATGCAAAGTTGGGGCTAGGATGGTGGGCTGCTGTGCACATGTGGCAAGTGTGCTGTGGTATTTGGGACTAGAGAGGCACATAAAAAGTCTCAAGCCATCACGTTTATCGGGAAATACCTCCATTTCATATGCACATACCGGTACACTGTCAGATAATCCCTCATCATCAGCTGGTATTGAAGAGTAGACAATAGTTTCCTTATCAGTATAACCTAATTAACATTAATTAGTAAATAGATGAAATTAATTTGTATTCATATATTTAATTGCTTGAAGTTCATTAATTATCTGATAATTAATATCTGTTTTCATATATTTACAATTAAGGACATCATAAAATCAAAGTATTTGCCAGTAAATTGTGAAATCTATATATATAGCTAGTTACTTTTACAGATGATGAACAATTTCAGCTTGAATAATTAAATAGTAAATGCTATTTCTTATAAAATCCATTTGTAACAGGAAATCTAAAAACTAAATACCGGTAGCTTGACATTTAAATCATAAGAACTTTAATATGGTTCAAAATATTGAACTCAATCACACAAGACCTTTTACTTTTTTTAATCTAATAACTGCATTAATGGCCTAGTCTATGAATCCATAAATCTTCCACAGACAAATTTTTTTCACAATGATCTTTAGAGTTTGCACACATTTAGACATTTTTCTAGTCCTTACATGAATACAAATAATTTAATTGTCTGAAATTAATTAAGGAGAATTATGACATTCAAAACAAAGTCTTTGTCACAAAAGATTATGTTTGATTTTGCTTGTTGACCATAGTCATTTTCTGAAAGTTATCATATTGCATTTAATAATTTTGTCTGTGTATATTTGTATGTGTGTGTGAATGATGTTCATTTACTCTGGAGAGGGACTATTTTTTCATGCTTTAATATGATTCAGTTGATCTTGTTAATTTTTAAATTCCCCAATCAAATATTATACAAATAATCAATTTAAAATACTCATGATACATGGAGGAAATTCTATTTGAAAGAGAGAAAGAGCAAAAGAGAGACAGTAAGAGAAAGAGCAAGAGAGAAAGAGAGAGAGAAAATGTGTGTGTGTATGTGTGCAAGTTACTGCCACTTATGATGCACTTATTTTATTAAACACACCTTGTTTCAATGATAGTATATGGGGAACAGAGATATTTACAGATAGAGAAGCACTGTGTGTGTGTGTGTGTGTGTGTGTAAGTTCATATCCCTGTTACTTATAATGTACTTATTTTATTAAATACAATGTATTTCAATGAAAGTATGGTACTTAATAGGGAGACAGACAGACAGACAGACAGACAGAGATATATTTCCCTGTTACTTATAATGTATTTATTTTATTGCATTTCAATAATAGTAAGGGAAATTAAAATGATATTTGTTTTTAAAGGTTTGGTTGTTTTCTTTAGTACCAAATGAAATCTAGTAAACAAAGTTCATAGGTCAACACAAAAACACCCTCTTCTAAAAAAATTGTGTAATGAAACAGAGGTAAAATAGTACATTTTTAAATCAACAGAGTGTTGTCACCTGGATACACAGAAAATGTGACACTTTATTTATTTAATATATAGAATTTGTATAAACAAAAATGATTCTTTTCTCCATTCGACAGAAAAAAAAACTATTTACTAAAAAAAAGGTTTGCAGCTTCTTATTGTAAATTTAATAAAAAAAAAAAAAATAACACCCCCGAATTTTCCAAAAATACTGCAACCACGATTACCCAACCCATCTGAAAAAACTTGACATACAAAGAAAGGCAATGCTGAAACTATGCATATTTAGTCTTAGATGCATGATTTTTTTTATTAGTTGTTAGTGGCTTTGAACTAGCTGTCAGTAACTGCGAGTACTCTCAGATCTGTTCTTAGTGTATTTTTGTCGTTTGGATGTACAAGTACCCGGCCACGTCCACTTGTATTTGTAGTATTTGTATTTTTATCCATCTGATGAGTTAAGCCTCTTTCAACTGATTTGTATAGTTTGTTCTTATGTTGCACCACTGTCCCAGGTTTGGGGGAGGGTTGGGATCCCGTTTTATAACATGTTTAACCCCGCCACATTCTGTATGTATGTGCCTGTCCCAAGTCAGGAGCCTGTTATTCAGTGGTTGTCGTTTGTTTATGTGTTACATATTTGTTTTTCGTTCATTTTTTGTACATAAATTAGGCCGTTAGTTTTCTCGTTTGAATTGTTTTACATTGTCATTTCGTGGCCTTTTATAGGTGACTGTGCGGTATGGGCTTTGCTCATTGTTGAAGGCCGTACGGTGACCTATAGTTGTTACTTTCTGTGTCATTTGGTCTCTTGTGGAGAGTTGTCTCATTGGCAATCATACCACATCTTCTTTTTTATATATACAATACATCTTCCTTTGCAACCATGCACTTAATGTAAAACCTGTAGTGACTGTTAAAAAAGATACTATGCTAGTATGCTGATGAAATCCTAAGATACACACATTGTTATGCAGATACATTTAGAAAGTTACTGCAGCTTATATATATGAAAAAATCATGGATATGTCGAAATCAATCATATATTTTCTACAAAAATGTAACAATATAAAAACTGGTTGCTATGCAAAATTGAAATTGATAGGTAGTTTTAGGTGACAGTACGAATCTGAAACTGATGCATAGGCAAATATAGCTTGCATGAAGAAATAGTTTGTTGTTGTCATGCCATGAAAATTGTATATGCAAATACATAATTAATTGCTTGAAATAGTATGGTTGCTATGTAAAATATATGTTGCTAGGTAGTTTCTGAGCAAAATACCAATCTGAAACTGATGCATGGAACAAACTAGCTTGTTTGTATTAATAATATGCTGTTGTCAAACACCCAATGTAACTTATATATGCAATTACATACACTAAATGCTTGAATTGGTATGGTTGCTATGGAAAATACACGTTGCTAGGTTGTTTTTATGGAAAATACCAATCTAAAACTAATGCATTAGAAAATCTAGCCAGTAGATATGAATTATTTACTTGTGGTTTGTGATTTTGGTTGTATGTGCAAATACATACTTTAAATGCCTAAAATAGTATGGTTGCTATGCAAAATCCAAGTTGCTAGGTAGTTTCTAAGCAAAATTCGAGTCTTAAACTGATGCATGGAACAAACTAGCTTGTTTGTATTAATACTACAGTGTTGTCATACACTGAATGTTACTTGTTTGTGCAAATACATACATTAAATGCCTGCAATAGTACAGTTGCTAAGCAAAATATCTGTGTTATGTAGTTGCTAGGCATAAGACATTTATTTTTTTGTTGAAGGAAACAAAAAAACTTGTACAGATAAACAATATAATATGATTTAACATAATAAACCTTCAAAAATCATTGAAAAGAGATTTTTTTAACGAAAAGCAGACACTGCAAGTTTGATTTTAGAAATCGGTTGCTAGGCAACCAAAAAGTCACAGGAACGAATAAAAATTTTTTTTTTTGTAGTACCTGCCAGAGGGCTATTGATGGTATGAATATGAACTGGTTCCGAGAGGGGGCCAAAAATGACCCTTATCATACATTGTCCTTTGGCTGTAAATAATTCTCCTGATTTTTCATACATTTAACATTGGCAGCTATTTTCTTTCAAAATCTATGAAAAATAACAAGGACTTTATAAGATTTTCAAAAATGGCTTTTTAAACTAAATGTAATAAAATCATTAAAAGAAAAGTAAGGGTTAGCAGGCAAACCTTTTATTGGAACTACATGGATAACGCTAGAGGATTCGGAATATCGGACAAAAAAAGTCGAAAACAAGAGTAGCGAACATCCTTAATATGCAGTATGGGATCTTCAAATTAAGTTAAAATAAAAAATCAATTAAAATCACATAAACCAAATATGATAAGACGTAAAAAAGGGTAATTCAAAACGTATAAGTCGAAAGAAAACTGACAACGCCATCGCAAAAGACGACAAAAAGACAAACAAAGAAAAATGTTTAATAAGACTGATTGATCAATTGATTCGTTTAGCGCGTAAGTGTTCAATTTATACGGACTTCATAAACAAGGGTTTAACCCTGTCAGAAAAGCTGCCCTTGTATAGGTAAATGAGGGAAAGCAACTGAAATCAACAAAATATAAGCTGGTCACTATCATAAATTTCATAACCGACACGATATGTATGTGTTTCAGCTAACAACTAACATTTTGTCGCGCTCTAAGTGCTTTAAATACCAGAAAAATCGCATGATCTGTAGTTTGCCGATTGTATCATAATCCTATATTGCGACATTTTGACTGATTGTGGATTCGGATGGCGGGTGATTTATACATAGCAAGAGTTTCAAATAGTGAAGTTGAAGTCATCCCTTCTACAACTTAACGGACGCTATCTCGAGTTTGTTGACCGTTATGGAATATATCTGTTTCAAAGATGACGACGGATATGTTACCACAATCCCATCCTCTATTCTTTCAGTGTGACCTATCGAATAAGACTTATCACTTGGTCTGTACTTACACGAGCAACACCACGGATGCCACAAGTGAAGCAGAATTTGATTACACTTCCATAGCACCTGGGATCACCTCCGGTTTTTGGTGGGGTTCGTGTTGCTCAGTGTATATTTTTTATGTTGTGTTTTGTAAACAACCGTTGTTTGTTTTTTTGATCGTTTTTGCCATGACATTGTCAGTTCGTTTAAGACTGATGAGTTTGCAATTGGACCAACCCTTTTTGTTTCTTCCGTCTTTCATTTACCCTGTCAACGCACCTTTTGGGTCCAAGCGATCCATCATATGTTGTTATTGTTTTATTTGGCAGTGTATAATATTTTCTTGTAGATGTATTTTTTTGTCGTTTATTTCTTTTTTTTCTGTATATTTCATTGTCCCGTGAGTGTATTCAAATCTGATAATATCAGAAACCTGTTTTGAATGCAGATTTCTATGCAGTTTGGTTTATTTCCGTGTTATCTAAAAATTAAATCACAACGCTAGTTTGCTTTTCAAGTCATTTTATTAGAACATGTAGACTCCAACTAAGAAAAAAAAGATAAAACAGCTACAGGAAAACCTTATTTTTTAATACGCCAGGGAAAATGCAGATATTTCTTGTTAACAATTATTTTGTATTACCACCGATAAAGCTTGGCATCCGTTAGTATTTATTTGGTTATTTCTTCTATATAATGATATTACTTCTGGACTAGAAAACTGAACGTGTATGACACAACTTTTGTTAGTTTTCAAGTTGATATTAAATTTTCTGTTGACCGATTTCGTACAAAGTGTGTAGTAAGGGGGAAAAGCGGTGAGAATAATAGCAAAGGTACACGGTTGTGATCTGCATGTCATAAGGTTGTTTATAGCATATCCATTCCGTTGTCTACATTTTCCATCGACTTCATTCTGAAAAAGTAAATGGTTTTCTCATAAATTTAACATAAAAATATATCACAGTTGAATTAATTTTTTTCAAATATTATTATATTTATTACTAAATATGCTCGTAAAATTTACCAACCACTTATTGTTTGATAAGTAAAACGTTATTGTTTACGAGAAATAATGGTTGCACAATGAAAGACAACATATCCCTATTCTCACTTATTCTCGGAAGCAAACTGCACAGACCTTCCGGGTCTTGCCAGAGTTTTTTAAACAGTCGTTTTGCTTCTGCCATTTGGAATTTAGAAGTGTGTATATAATGACATATTGTATTTAACCAATCAAACACTAAACATAGAAATTAATGCTTTTAGTTTAAATGTTGATATGTATATAATAATCATGCTTTTATTTTTGTTGTATAACATATGTGGGTCTTTTGATGAATTTCATTTTGTAAATCTATAACATTCAATAAGATGCAACAGAATCGGGAATAAAATACTAACATTGGAGTGTAATCCAATTCGTTAATACTTTTAGCATCTTGGGTAGCTCTGAAAGGATTTTTCACCTTGCAGCAATGAAGACAGGCGCAAAGTTTCCCGGGATGGAGTACTCGGCATAAATAATGTGTGCAACTAGCAGTCCCACAGAACTTGCCACAGTAGTACGATGTGCAAGCATGCGAATGAGCTTCCGTACCTTTAAGATAAAAATTAATGTAAATAAGACCGGTTAATTTTGATTCATTTTTTAGAAGTTTACAAAAACATGGTATTTTTTTTTATAGCAAGTTTAGGCGTTTCTGCAGACTTCCTTAAGATTTACAACACATTACGGAGTTTCTGTGAACTACATTGAATGAAGGTAACAGGTGAACATTGTAAATTGTTTTACAACAAATCACGGTGTATCTGTACACTTCGTTGAAATGCATAAACAATAACTGGAAATGTTCAATTTAAAACAAAAATATTTCACTGCATCGAGTTTGATACAAAATTCTCTGATCAAGACATGTTCTAGTATCTAAAATTTAACTGCAAAAAAAATCGCAGTGTCGTAATAGCAAAATCAGAGAATGGAAAGAAAATGTGACTTCATGAACAAATTTTGAACAATTAAGAACTGAGATCAAGCAAACCACATGTTGATTTTAAAAATTAATTATCAACCGTTTCGGGAAAGTATAAAGAAGAATTAGAGAGAATATTTTACAAACAAATTACTTTATCTTTGATACATTTTAAGGACAAAACTCAATGGTTATTGAGAGTGCCTCTTGAATAATATATTTTAACTACACACACCAGCAATATATATAGAAACATATTTACCTGCGAGAAAAACTGCCACTACAATCGTTAACAAGATAGTGAGTGGCCTTCATGTTGCACGTTCTGAGTTTCGAGCTAAATAGAATTATGATCCTTAATTTGAACAAAATACAAGAAATTATATTTAATGAAATTGTACAATGGAAAGCTTATGTGTAACATATTTGCAAATATGAACGATGTATCTGAATAAAAAATTTTAAAAACCCAGTATAAATTTTCTAAATTTAGTAATACAACTAAATTAAACGAATTTCACTAAATTGTGAATTTTAAAATATTGATACTCCCTGGATTGTGTGCTGACGTATGGCATATGATTCTGAATAATTACTGGTAGTGCATGAATTGAAATGTTATATCGGTCTTTGTCAGATTCTCTGTTTTCGTTTTACTTCAGTGCTCTGCTTATCTTCATAAAAACAAGAATGTTAGTAAAAAGATTTAAATTTCAAAGTAATCTATTAACAAGTCGGATTATTTTACTTTATAATTAAATGAAAATCATTCAACGATTTGCATCATTCAGACGCAGATTCAATGGGACCCGCCTCCCCAAACCCTTAAAACCGATATTTTACTTTTAGAATATTTCTCTGTTTTTTGTCAGGTTATACCCTTATTTTTCACTGGGATAATAATCGTGCCACTGTTATTCTATTTAAATTTTTTTAAGAATGTTATAATTTTTAGGTTTACTTACCATTGTTGCAATCGTGAAAACGCAAAAATGTAAATGTTTAATAGTATATTTATACATATGTTCTAGACAGGAAAGACGGACATTGTGGTTAAACTAAATTTTTATTGCGTAGTTGTTTTGTTTTTTCTTGTGTATAAGCTGATTTTATGAGCAAATCTTTTTGCGTAGAATATTTTTGGTGACATTTGAAAAGAAATCAACCGACTATTTTTTTCACATATTTTTGCGGAAGGACAATGTTAATCATCTGCTTCAAAATACTTCATAGTCTTTCGCTTAAGATGTAATTTTCACCGACTTGTTTCTTCACCGTTTTCCGTAGGTTAAAAGGAAATATCAACTTTCATATTCATTATATACAAGGTATACAATATATAAAAAGAGAATCTGGTATGAAAGCTATGAATACCCCGAAATTGCAAAATGTGAAATAATTAAACCAGAAAAGCAATGACCTGAAAATATGACAAATTAATTAACGAAAACCAAATATGAGAGACAGCTACCAACGATAAAAACTTTATACAAACTCCTATCTTGGGACAGTCACATAAAGAATGTGGTGGGGTAAATCAGGTTTAACAGATTAACTAATTATACTTTTCTTCCCTTGAAAGTTTTTCTGATTTTATATGAATGCAAACTTTACGGAAGCATGCAATGTAATGTATCCCTATCACTTAAATATAACATCTTTACACCGTGCTAGAAATGTTGCTTTAAACATTCCTTGAAGGAAAGATATCGAATGAAATCCGGCATATCTTACGTGTACATTCGAATTCATTCATTTGGGAATCTTTCTTTGTATAGAAACAGTCCGGTTGAATAATACAATACTACCTAATTAAGACATTTTACATTATACCTGGCATGGGGTAATGCAAATTTGTAATTGTAATTGTAATGCATGGTAAATTAATTATCATGCATTACATTTTTCCAAGTAATTGCATGTAATGTGTAATGCAGCGATTTTTGCATTACATGTAATTGTAATTTAATGCATTACTTTAGCAAAAAGTTGTGTAATTTCATGCATTACAGGGCATTACTTATTTCACATACTATATATCTTTAACAGATTGTTGAAGATTTAACTAAAGCAGAATTAAAGATTTCTTGATTAACTATTAACATAATCATTTGAATATTGATTTTCTATTTTCTATTTATTTTTCACACTTTACATAAATCACTAGAGGGAATTTGGATATTAAGCCTTGCCCAAGGTAGAACTTCTAAAAAAAATTGGTTAATCTACTTTAGTGAAAAGTGATAATTTTGCAGTAGAATTTGTGATATTGAAGAGAAATGTCGAATTCTGTAGATCATTTTGACTTTCCTGAAAATATTGATGATAAGAATACAAATTTCAAGTCAAAATTAAAACACTGCTTTTCTGTTATATCTGGTAGTCTAAGGATAACATAAAATTTTGTAACTCATTTTTAGATAAGACTTTCAATAATTAAGATATTGTATTAGTATGCCAGTCTGAAATATTTCACACATGTATATTTAGAAAATAAAAATAAAGTGGTAGAAATACTAGAATAACCAAATTACAATTCTAAATGAATAACACAACACTGTATATTAGATTGAGTTCTTTTTTTATGTCATTTTATTTCATATATTTTCCTGCATAAAAAGATTGATATTTGAAAAGCATAACTGTAAAAGTGTTCCATTGTTGTCAAAATATCAATGAATACTTTGTCATGATTAAATAACATATAATTGAACATTGTCATAAAACATTAATTAGTTTGTTTTACAATCAATCTTTTCACCATGTTGACACTTCTAACACTTCTACCATACACATAGTCATAGATCAAGCTCTATGTTTATTATATAATTAGGAAAGAAATTCTCAGTAAATATTTTGATTGAAATTAAAAAAACAAATGTATATTTATAAAAGTAAAGTTAACATTAAGTTAAAATAAGTATTAAACTTCATCTCTATAATTTCTTAATTTTCTAACAGGTCAATGAAAGGATTTCTTGGCATAACAGCTCATTATGTATCAAACTGGGAAATGAGATCTGCAATGATCGCTTCATGTTGTTTTTCAAAATGTTTGATTTTTCTTTTCACTTGATAATAAAATTTACAAATGTAATGTGTAATTCAATGCATTACTTTGTAAAAGTAATTGTAATTTAATGCATTACTTTGATAAATGCATGTAATTGTAATTATAATTTAATGCATGGTTTTGTCAAAATAATTATAATATAATGCATTACATTGCAATGTAATTCGCCCCCATGCCTGCATTATACTACAATTTTCTGTTGTTTTGTGTAAGTATGTTTGCTTTTTTGCAAGGAATACAATGACAAATGTGAAAAAAGGTGTTTCAAATCGACATTTTTTATATTAACTTCAGACTGTTTGTTGTCAGTTTATTACGGATATTATATTCAACATTGTGAACTTTGAACTGCAGTAACATACCTTCATACATGTAGTCCATTTTTCTATTGTAATTGTAGATTAAAAGACAGATTAGTAGATAAAATATTTGACATCATCTAACATTTGAGAAAACAATGAGTTTTTAGCTTACCATAGGTTCATAAAATATCTTAACTGAATTTCTTTTCTTCAGTTCCTTGAGTTTTGTTCTTTATATAAAGGTATAGATAAGTTAGTTATTTTGTTCAAGTTATTTTTTACTAATGAGTATAGCTGCAACACTCTTGAAATTTAGGATGCTTTTAATATTGATACTAGTTGTATCCAGTCTTGCTATTGTGTGTGATATGAATGCGAGCAAGCTCTCAAAAATTACTAGTCAGTGTCCTCCCCAGTATTTTCATATAGCACAATGGGATTTAAAAAAACCACTGTATCCCTAAAATTATAGCACCAGACTTATAACCTGAACATGATCAATTACATTTCTCTTCAAAATGTGGTAACCTAGGATAGAAAATGTGTGAGACTAAATCCATACATTGGCAACACAACTTCAAAATACCCTGGAACTACATACTCTAGGGTAGCTTTTTATCATATGTTGATACTGAACAATTCTAAAGATCTGTTAGAATACCTACAATTGAAGTCTCTATCCTCTTACAATAGTATTAAAACATTTTACTTCTCTATCATTTACACTAATATACCCCATTTTAAACTAAAAGACAGAGTGAAAGAACTAGCTTCACTTTGTTTTATCAAACAGAATTGCAAACGGAGATATAAAATATCGTGTTTTAAGGAGGAATGAATCATACTTTTTAAACGAAATACTATGATTCAAACAAAACTTCACTGACATCGTCCAGATGCTTGACATTTTTTATTGGCAACGTATTTGTTACGTTTGAAAGGCATATTTTTTTTTAAACACTCGGCATTCCTATTGGAGTTTATTGTGCCCCTTTTCTTGCAGACTTGTTCCTTTATTTATACGAGACAGACTAAATGCATTATTCTTTAACTTCATGTTCCACTATTTAGAGAATGTCATCTCGATAAACCATCCAAATTTGATGACTATGCTGAATGCCTCATTCGCATCGAATTTAAAATAAAGGAAACCACAGATAGCGTTAAGTATGTCTTATATATTAACTTCCATCTAGAAATTGACAATAAGGGTTGGTTGATAATAAAACTTATTTGAAGTATATATCCTGTAATTTGCTACTTCCCTTATAATACAATTCCATGAATTCTGACACTGACATTCATACAATAATACATGTAAGACGACGTACAATGATTGTTTTCATGCACATTGACTTTTTGATTGATTTGTATGTTTAACACCACTTTCAGCAGTAAATGCTTTACCAAGGTATCCACTCAATATTGGTAGAGGAAGTGGAGAACCAAGATAAAACCAGCAACATTCGACAGGAAAACTGACAATCCTAGTATATCAAGATCGGAGTCTTATTCATTTACCACAAACATTGTATAATGAAATTCATCGACATAAAATACTATAAAAACAATTCTAATGATGAAAAGTAGGGAACATATTTTGATATTTGTCAAAGAAGAAAAGTTTTACTTCCCTCGCAGGTGACAAGCCCAAAAGAAAAGATTTCATTTTTTTTAAGAGGAAAACTTGAAGTCTTTATTTTGATCTGGTATGTGGTACATTTGTATGTTGGTATGTGTAAATCCTTAAAATTAATCCACTATGACTATGCCTTCATTGTAGAAGGGTTGAGTCCCCATTTGCATTTTATGGAAGTGCTAAAAATGTAAACGAAAAGGATAACACTCCAATGTAAGTATTTAATTGAAGATTTCGTTTAACAATATCAACTTTTATAAATAAAAAAAAATATTTGTCTACATTCTAACATATGTTGGATGTATACCCATTTTTAATATAGACCATTTAAAATTTGAAAATAAAGAATCCATCTCGAAAATATTATTGGTAAAATACAATATGCCATTATGTTCTCAGTCGTATAATTCAAAATCGTTGGAACAAGACGACTGCCTGAAACACTCCTGCAAGTGTCGGAAGGGGTGGCTATTGGAAGGTCTGCAATTTTCTTTCAATTTCGGTTAATGAATGGGGAAGTGGATATGGTGTTTTTCATTGTGTCTTTTTGATAATTGCGTTTAAAAGCACTTTCATTTTAATCGCTGACTGGTCAATTGCACGAGAATAATCAAAAGTAAAACTGGAATTTGAAAAGATCTAGTTTAATTTGTGAAAAGAAAGACACATCTAAGAAATCATTTACTTTTTTTCAGAATGAAGGAGATGGACAGTTTGGACCAAGAAATGGATATGTTTTAGACAAAAATTTGAAATGAAAATATCAACTGCATAACTTATAAAATCAGCTATACGTCTTTCCCTTGATGGCGAACACTTTGTGCCTAGTCTGTCATAAAAACCTTTTATTATCATCAAATATTCTGTAACACAATTTCAACTTTTCCAGCTTGAAGTAATATTATAACAGTTAACAAGAATTTTCGTAAGCGGCCTCAAGCTAATCCAAGGATAATTTTGAGCTCTTACCAAAATAGCGATTTAAA